GGGGTGGGGGGGGGGGGGGGGGGAGGTATGTTGTTGTAGTTATTGCAACAAACCTAAGAGGAGTAGATGTTTTAAATGTGATCCTTTTGCAATTATTTACAAGCACATGTTGTCTTAATTATGTCCATTGAATGCAATGTGTTTTCATATCTGTTTCAATGTTTCCTTTGGTCAACTCAAATCTTGGGAATTTGGATAAGAGATGTGAGTTTGATTGAATAACTACCCCCTTGAGCTTAAGGTTACAATCCATCATTAGGAAAATACAATTGGCAGGGGCTTTTACTGCCTTAGTAGTCTCCCTATAGATTTGGTACCAAAATTAGGGTACATGGGGACTCAAAATCAAACTTGAAGGATTCAAGACCATAGTCACTTGCTGATTTGATGTTAAACCCTTAAGATTGTACGAGGGGTGCAGGTGGGCCAGGCCAGTACTGACCATGAACCCGCCAGCCCGGTTTTGGATCGACCAGTTTAGACCTAGGCCTGAGTAAGCCTCAGTGGGCCGGGCGAGGATTTTGTCCCCGAGTTTGGGACTAGACCCAGCCTGGCCCACAACCCGCATGAGGCCGTCACGGATCAGCCCACATTCTTTTTTTTTTAATATTTTTCAAATTTTTCAAATTTTTTTCTAGATTATTATGTATAATTTAAAGAGGGAAACATGTAGTTTCTCTATCTAAAAGTCTAAACCCTATAAATTTACAATTGACGATGGAATTATCTCAAAGGACAAAAGATTTATAATAATTTGAACATTTTCAGTTAGGGCTGAGCATGGTTCGGTCCAAACCGAAAAAACCGACCGAACCGATCCGAACCGGCCCGAAAAAATCGGTTTTATGAGTAAGGCGGTTCGAGTCGGTTTGAAAACTTTTTAACCCGAACCGACCCGAACCGACCGAATATAGTGCAATACTACACATTTTGATCTTAAACCCTACTCGACCCGTTCCCAAAGAGTCAAAGACTCAAACCCTAAACTCATTTTCTGAATCATTATGGGTTGAAAACAATATCATTATATCAGTGTTTAATGCTTCATAATCTCCTACTTTGTTGATATCTTTTTTTCTTTAACACAGTTTGTTGTTTGCTAAGAAGTTTGATGAAGTTAGAACCGAACAAACCGAACCGAACCGCACCGAATCGACTTGCAACGGTTCGGTTCGGTTTTGAATTATAGACGGTTCGGTTCGGTTGTTCAAATTTTGATAAAAACCGAACCGAACCGACCGTTGCACACCCCTATTTTCAGTAAATCAAAATGACTATCAATATTCATTAAAATACTGAATAGAGTTTAAAAAATCTCTACTATTACTAAAATTACAACTCTAACTCCTAGAAATTACAATTTCAATTGAGTTGCTACTATAATAACATCAACATATAACTATCAACTAAGGTAGAACGAGCCAGGTCAGACGTGACCAGGTCGAACGTGGGTTGGGCCTACTTCTTTGTCCCCGAGTTTATTGTGGAACCCAGCCCCCATGGCCCGAGTACATCACGGGTCGAGTTGGTCCCAACCCAGTGTGGGTCGGGCTAGATATTGACCTAAGGCAGGTTAGGCCAGTTTAGCTCGCGATTCGAACCGACCACACGCATCCCTAATTGTATCATATTAAGTACGGTTAAAATACCAATCTAGCCTCAAAAGTGACACCCCTTTTTCAGTTTAGCTTAAAAGTGACAAAAGCAACACTTTAGCCGAAAAAGTATCAAATACAATGACAAATAGGTATTTTCAGTGCTAGGGCAACTTTAAAGTGAAATATTAAATAATTTTTACATATAGACCCCTCAATCTCCCATTTTTTCCGAGCTACCAAAATTTAAAATTTGTAAAAAAGATCTCTCCCTCCCTCCCTCTCCCCCCTTAGTCCATCATTTCTCATACTTATTTTTACCTTCTCCTTTCCACCATCTCCTTCGTTTTCTTCTCTTCCCAAACCCCAACCTCCCCTCCTCTCTCCCACTTACCTCCCTCCTTACTCCGGCCACTTCCTCTTCACCATGCGATCATATAAAAAAAATCCTTCTCTTCCTCTATCAAATCCAAATATCAAGCATTCTATCAAAAATCCAACTCCTCTTTGTCCCCCCTACGCCCTCTCCTTGCTCTATTCAAGCCCTATTCATCCTCCAATCATTAAAAACTCAATTTCATTCTTCTCTTCTTTTCTTAGACCCGACACTAAACATTCTACTTGAAGTAGGAGGGAGTGAACGCGAAGGGAGAGAGAGAGAAAGGAGGAGAAAGAGGGGAAAGAAGAGAGAGAAGCTAAAGAAAGGTGGGCTTGGAGAAAGATGGAAAGGAGGAAGTAATAGGAAGGATATGGGAAAGAAAGGAGAAAGAAAGTGGGAGAGCGGAGGAGAGGTTAAGAATCGGTATGAGAAAGGAATGAATGATATGATGGGAAGGAGGGAGGAGATGTTTTTTTTTTGGTGTGGGATTGGGGGGAATATTTTAGAACTTGAAGGGGTAAATCCGAAAATATGGGAGATTGAATGGTCTATATGCAAAAAAAATACTCAATATTTCGCCTAAAATCCTCAGCACCGAAAATACCTATATATCATTGTATTTGTCACTTTTTAGGCTAAATTTTCGCTAGCATTACTTTTTAAACTAAACTGGTAAATGAGATGTCACTTTTAAGGCTAAATTGGTATTTTAGCCTATTAAACACTGTATTTATCCTTTTAGGGCTATATTTATTATATTTTTCCTATTTTATGAGTTATCTTCTCTTAGGACTTCTCACAGATAACCTATAATACTCTGTAGATATGCAAGGTATTGTGTCATTGAAATACCAATCACTAACAAGATATTTCTTTTCCTACTCTTGACATAGTACCAGAATCAAATAGTAACTCTATAAGACTATTATTTTTCCTAAACCTCAATATCCCGAGTCATCTCCATATTTTTCTCTTGGCGTCTTCATTGCCTTTATCACCTCCCACCAACTTCGCCTATGCCTCTGCGTGATGCTACATCAAATCATGCCACAATGTTCTTGATAAATGTCTAAGTATAATTATTACGTGACTCTGTATGGACTAAAGAAATAACGAGAAAATCACCCATCACGAAACAAAGAGTATGTACGCTAATAAAATAGAACATGAAAAAAGTAAGTAAAAGTGCTCATTCGAATTTGGTGTTCATAGTTAGAGGTTAAAGGAGTTTAAAGGAGGTTGGACGACGTGGAGGCCTGCAACAAAGAAAATTACGATCAATGCCTACATGGTGCAAGCACACAATGCTCCCCTAAACACTCCCAAAATTTAGGTGGGTAGCTTAGGTACCGTCCAGATGCTAGGCGCTAGTTAGGCGACTTAGGTACCAATTAGGCCTGGGCGGACGCCTAGACGGAGGCTTTTTAAAACGGTGGGCTAAGCATAAATATATCACGAAGAAATATTTGTCTCCTGCAACTTCCATTTCTTTGCCCCAATGGAGGTCCACCATAGTGTATTCCGCATATCTTTTGACCAAAGCTTAATAATTTGCAGTTAAGTATGACAGGTTCAGCAAACTTAAGGACCTAACTAGCTCAGAAACAAATTTAGAAGCTAACCAAGAAGATGATCATATATTCAACATAAAAAACATGCAAAAGGTGCAAACTCCTGATTTAGATTAAACAAAATCTATCAAGTTTTAAGGTTGAGTCAGACAAAAGCTATGTTACTATTCTGCTAAGCTCTAGTAGCCTGAAACACAGCAACTAAAACTCGGTACAAGAGCAAGTCTAAGATGAATTGTTAAAATTTGATCTGAAATAAATGATATATAATAAAATATTTGATGCAACCATTTGTGCCGAATTTTATTCAAACAAAATCATATGGGTTTACTCGGAAAATAATGTGGACCTGAGTGATTGCTGTCTGGAAGTCTGAGATGAGTATGCCTCTTGGAGCTCCTTCTCCAGCAACAGCCTGGTTGAAGGAGAAAACGACGATTCAGATGGATCAAAGATTGTTTCTGCTTGTACATGTCGAACTGAGAAATGATTTTCGAGAGAAGTGATGGTTCTCTCTATGAATATTGATCTGGATGGCAGATATTCCTTCATCTTGCACAAGAATTCAACATGGTCCCTTGCCTGGTAAAGATAGTAGCATTATAAAAGAAAAGTTAAAACTCATATTATGTTCTTCAACATAGATCTCAACAGATACTTTATGTGGAATCATGGATCCAAGATGGTTGGGAAAAAGAACCATATGTGTTATGTTGTATAATACATTATAACAACAATCAAAATTATATGGCAAAACAGTAATGACCTTAAGCAGGCTCATCAACATTACTCGGACGTACAATAGGTTTTAGGGCTTAGATGATGGAAATGCATCTAGATTACATGTTTTGCTTTTGGCCTTTTTGCATATCATTTTTTTAACATAGCTATTGAGGAGCCTATTTCTATTTTACCCCTTGCTTTTTAAGGCAAAAAGCTTCTTCAGACAGTCGCCGGTAGTTCCATAAAGAAGTGACCAAAAGACATCCTTATTCCATGAAACTGGGTTTTGGTTCAACTAGTGAGACTACTTTCCTAGGTAAAAAAAACAAGCAAAGGTCCTCTTTCCCCAGTGGTTCGTTAGATATGTTGGTACTGCGGTACTGAAGTGGTAATATTTTGACTAGCTCGTGATGCAATTTCAGTCAAAATACTTCTAGGTTCTTGTAGATAAAATACAGTGGTTTGTTATTTTAGTGGTCAGTTATTTTGGTACTATTGTACTAAAGCTGCTTTTTGTAGCTATGAACATCTTCATTAAAGTACTGATGCTAGAAATTTTGAATGTTTGGTGATGCATTATTTTAACACAATTTCATTAATTTTATTTATGTGTTGTTTTGAATGATTAGTAAATAAATATAAATTTTGTATTGCATAGGACTTGTTTGTGGCTTTGAATGATAAATAAATAAATATTGATTTTGTATCGCATAGAAGTAGATTGATTAGTTGTGTTCTCTTTCTCCTCTTTATCTTCTCCTTCCTCTTACTCCTCCTCAGCCTCTTAAACACCATCGATTTCAAGTACCCCATGGCCTAACTCTTCTCCTCTTCCTCCTCCCCTCAACTTCATTCACCACCTCAGCCTCCTGCTCTTTGTCCTTCCTCTGATTCTCCTGTTTCTCCTCCTCAGCCCCTCAGACAAAGTCAATTCCAACCACTCCTGTGGCCTCACTCTTCTCCTCCTCATCCTCCCCTCAACTTCATTCATAGCCTCACCCTCCTCCTCGCTCTTCTCCTCCTCATCCTCCCCTCAACTTCATTCATAGCCTCACCCTCCTCCTCAGCCCCTCAGACAAAGTCAATTCCAACCACTCCTGTGGCCTCACTCTTCTCCTCCTCATCCTCCCCTCAACTTCATTCATAGCCTCACCCTCCTCCTCTTTCTCCTCCTTCATCGTCCTTCTCCTCTTTGATTCGGTATTAGTGGTTGGTTTAATTATTTATCTTTCAACACCACAAGTAATTTCTATGCATATACAGTACAAAATCTATATTTACTTACTAATCATTGAGAACCACAAATAAACAAAACTAACGAAATAGCATCAACGTATTGCATTGCCAAACAGTCAAAATTTCTAGCATCAACACTTTAATGTAGATGTTCATAGCTATATAAAGCAACTTCAGTAACAAAATAACCAACAACTAAAATAACCAACCATTGCATTTCATCAACGAGAACCTAATACTAGTTTAACTGAAATTGCATCGCCAGCTAGTCAAAATATTACCACTTCAGTACCAAAATATCTAACCGCCCAAAATAATCAACCACGCATTAATACCGAAACATAGAGAAAATTGTCCTTTGTTTCATTGTCTCATATAACTTATCCGTGCACATGTTTCCATCCATATCTTTGCTGCCTTACTGATAGAATTTAGCTTATTATGTCTCCTATTAAAAAAATACAGGGACATAGGCATTAATCAATGGAGAAATATAAAGATCTACTTCCAACCAAGTTGCACATCTGCTATTGCTGCTAGCTTATACAAAATGTTATAGAACACACTCTGTCAAAACATTAAAGCGTGCCTCTATGGTTTAAATATAATTTGTTGTTTTCCTTGATGTCATGCTTTCAAGAAAAATTGGTGCATGTAGAGGATAATTTGGAAGTGATACTAAAATTGCAATAAGAATTTCATAAAATTCCCTTCCACTTGTTATTGTTGTTTCTGTATAAATTTATCCTACTAAATACTGAATTTGTTTCGGAGTGAACCAACAAAATAAAGCGAAATTATACTTGTTGTGTGAAGAAAGGCAGCCCATATTTTTAAAACCAGTTGTCTGGAAACAGATGATGGTTTTATACTCTTCATTTTGACACCTAACCTAACAAATTCTTCATTTGAATTTCTTAGCCACTAAAGGCCATCTAGAATTTAATGGCAATCTCCTATTTGGTCCATTGTTCTCCCTATCCTAGCAAGGAATTAGCAGCTACATAGGCCTTGTTTCAGGGCTGATTTACCAAAGTGCAGCTGGGCAATTACATCAAAAAAGTCTTAACTGAGGTCAATAGAGCTGACATTTTAAGTTTGCCACACTGTCTTCAAGTGCATGTCCATTCCTTTAGTTGCAGACTCGCAGTTACTAAAGTCCATTTAACTGGATTTTTCCAATACTACAGGGGGTCTATGTGCAATTACTCCTATAAAATAATACAAACATGACTTGATATTTGTTATCTTCTCAAACTAGTTCCTCAACCCTGCGGACTGTGAAAGTCAGTATCAGCTATCAACTCATATAACTACCCCACAGACAAACTTATGACTTTTTTAAACCTTTTTTTTATAGCAAGAAAAGTTATATGGAGAACTGATAAAAAACGGATTCACATTAATTATGAACCATGATACAATAATCTAGTGAATGTGATTTCAATCGTATTCAACTACAGTTCGGATGCAAATAAAAACCAGTTCACATTAATTATAAACCATATTACAATATCTAGTGGTAAAGGGATTGGACTGGGTCACGGGAATTCCCAGGTTCAAGACCCTGTATAGCTTTGCTCAGAAAGGGTATTGACCTTATTTGGATGGTTTTTGTTCAGAAAAAATATAGTTCAAGGTAACTGTTAGAAGTTATTGATAATTTGGTATTAGTAGATTTAGTAGATATTATGAGATATTGTGAGACATGATTAGATATGATTTTATCTCATACATATTTTCTAATATCCTCGTAATCTCTATTTAAGAGAGGTTAGGGTTAGATGAATAATAAACTTTACCTTTTCTATTTCTCTACACGGTATCAGAGCCATAGTTCATAAGTCTATTCTTCAAACCCTAGTTTCTCAACGCCTCAACCTGTAACCCTGGTCTCTCTTCTCACCCTCTCCCCCTTGGCTAGGCCGCAGCCTGGCCTTTGCCATCTGGCAG